CTGTAACTGTTATTGGTTTCTTCTCCAGCATGACATCTGCCTGATCTGTTGTTGGTATCTTTAATATATTTGTTTTCTTATAACTTTTTTTTTTTTATTCCTATTTTTGATTCTGTAGACGATAAATCATTTTTTTTTTTTTGCGTGACTTTGTTATTTTAACTTGACAGAATAATATCATCTGCGAAATCCAGATCTTCCAGTTGTCTATAATTTACTCATTCAGTGCTAGTATTGCCGCTACCCATTTGCGCCACACACCGCTTTGTTTGATTTGAATGACGTCCTTTCCTGCGACTTTCTGTAGCTCTGAAAAATATCTTGTGGTGAGGTACCTTTTTTGTTGTTTCTAAGGCATTATTACACGTCTTTCTTCTAGCAAAGCAGCAAATGATTAATAGCATCTTTATCCATACTTTATTATTATTAAACATGGACAATGAATAGGGCACGAACATAAAATAACTACATGTGAAATGCAGTCTCCGCAAGGTACAACAACACAAGAAGAGACAGGGTTACGATTGCCAACATTAGATAGAAAGTGGATAAGACCGCGTCTGATTATATTGACAGACAAAGAGTGAAATGATTCAGCCGTCTAGTGAGAATGCAGCAAGAGCAGAGTTTATTTGAGACTCTTACAGTAGAACATCTCGAAGGAAGGCGAGAGGAAGACCAAGAAAGATATGGATAAACGGTGTAGCTGAACCTCAAAGAAGATGAACAAATTTATCACTCAAGCCACCCGAGAAGCGCAAGACAAATACAGAAAACCTGGACACTGGGCTGCAACCTGGTATCAGTGAGTCGACAAAAGAAGGAAGAAGAAAAAGATTAACACACAACCATTGTTCCTCTAAAGCAGTCTGTGTGGACCTAGTGTAATAGCCACGGCATCTGCGGTTTAGGTGTTGCGAACGCTTTTCGTAATGCCGAGGTGCCGGGTTCGATCCCAGCTGATGGCCTTGCGTTAATATCGACAAGCCGATTGTCCAGAAAGCAATGGCAAACTACTGGACGTAAATTTGGCTAGAAAAACCACAACAGCCAAAAAAAGGCATTTGTTGGTTCTGCAACGCCATATAAAGGATACGAAAATTTTAATTAAAAAAAAAGTGTAATAACAACACTTGACGGGCTAGATCATTTCCGTTATCTGATCATCTGATTTGCGAAACATGGAACCTTGCCTCAGGCGCAGCCGTATCGTAAAAATTGTATAGTTCATGCTGCGTGACGTTTGATGGCATATGTCAACGCCCTAACGCTCCTTTATGTGATACCAGTCATCTCAGATATAAAGTTTTCTCCTCCTCACCCTCCTCCCCTTTTTCTTCTTCTTCTCTTCCTCCTCCTCATCCTCCTTCTTCTTCTTCTTCTGCTTCTTTTTTTTTCTTCTTCTTCTTCATATTGATTCCCATTGAAGCATAGGCCCTAAGCCTACTCGCACTGAGTTGTCCTCTCGTTTGCAATCGCATGCATTTCGTTTTCCTATCTGTCATCTTCTCAGTTTGGCTGTTGGTCTGCCTGTTCTTTTGCCTTTACCCTTGAAGGACGGTTAACATCGAAACGTTAAAGAACGGAAATCACAATCGAACTAACAAGCTCTTGTTATAGCCCATGTCGTGTGATCTTGGTAATCCTGTCTGCCCACCGCTTTCTGTTTCCTGTCCTGCCAGCCATTTCTGATACAGATGTTCCTCAGAACATTGATACGCATCTGTCCAGGATCCTCTATCTCATTCTCCCAATACCCCACTCTTTCTTTCAGTATTCGAAACCGGGTGGTTCCTGTGGTTTACCCAGCCTCTGGGCAATGGGTACCAGAGTTACCACTCTAGGGTAAATGGAGATACGTCGCTGTAGCTGCAGAGTTGCTTGCGGACGGCGACACAGGCGAACATTTTCTTATCAGCTGCCCGTACTAGTGGAAGAGCACTTATGGTTTGTAACAGTGTGCAGTGACGCTGGTTCACATCTCCCGACTTTACCTTTACTTTGCTTTCGAATTTGCATGTTCCTCGTGTGCGTTCCGGGGTCCCTTTAGCCACTGCCCCATAACAAGCAAGCAGTAGGAGTCTACTAATTATGGATGTTATCTTCGAAGTCGGAGAAAACCTTCCTGAGATGCAAGGTACCAACAGTCTGGGTGCAAAAAAAGCTAGATCTATAAAACGGATGTGCACGTAAGACTCAAGTTCTGGAACAAGACTAAAGTCCAGCTAGAACAACTGGAACTTTCCGCCGGAGTTTACAGCCGGCGAACGTGTAGAAGGAGCAGAACTTTCATATTAACTCAACGCTAGCCAGTTGTTCCCCTTCTTGGGTGAAAGCATCAATTAGCCGAATGTCTGTTGCACACTTTGTAGGATTGTCGCGTCGTGTTATTAACTAGTAGAACCAGAATGAACCTGCGTTGTGTATAGGGAAATGCTGTGTACATGTTTTCTCAAAAAGCCCTGCGCGCTGGTTATACGCTATAATTACTTGTACCCTGTATAATTATAGAAAATGACTGCTAATTTGAAAGCATTTCAGGCTGTTTCCTGTCTTATTATATGAAGCCTCCCTGGTACAAACCGTTATGTGTTGTCGGCAAATAAGGGCAGGTTTGGTTCATATTTTTTTTTTTTTGAAGTGTTGCTTTTTTTCTCAGATTTCCGTAAAAGGTAAAGTAAGAAAGCTATTCCAGAATCAACCTCCGATTGGCTTGTAAAAAACAAACCATTTGCCATCGTGACACCGTTCATTGCTTGCATCATTCAGTAGTCTTTTAGCTGCACATCAGCGTAGTCCACCAGGTTGTTCAATGTTTCGCGACTCGAACAAATGAATATGAACAGTGTTATTGCCTTGGCCGCCAGCTGTGAAATGCCTAGTGTGGTTCGTTTTCTTCTAGCAAAAGGTCAAAACGCCGACGAGATTCATCGTCGTTAATATCGTGTGTTACGTTATGAGAGACAGTTCTCTGAGGCTTTTGGTGCAGACAATTTAGAGATGGGCGTAAAGATGTCTTCCTAGGTGTCTTTAGCACGTAAACACCTGCATGGTTTAAAAAAGAGTTAATCACTGATGATGAGGGCAGACAAGGACGCAATTTATGTGACAACTGAGCTCATTCAGAAAATCTACCACATCGCAGAGGAAAGCACCGTTTCACAATTTCAAATCTTTCTCCAAAATTGTCCCACATTTCTAAGACTAGATTGTTTCGAATTGTCACAGAGAGGTTAGCTACCACAAATCCTGTTCACGGTGGGTACCAAAGCAGCTGATTGACGTTCACAGAGATCAAAGAATGGGCTTAGCTTTGACGTTCCTTCTGCGCTGCTGGGAACATGAGGATGCATTTCTCGACAGAATAGTGACTGGGAACGAGCTAGCTATAGTGGTCCCAATTCTCGGACTCAAGAACCTCTCTTTCTTCGGTACCATAAAAGTGCTAATTATTCCTAGTAAAGACAACTGATGCTTGTTAATATTTGGCAGAAGCGTGGACAGTTATACGGGATAGCACGGGTAGCCTTAGTTGGCAGCTGGTCTAGAAGGGAAGCTCAAACAGGCAGGCAAACATGTCACCGCTCCTCTGATTGGGTGGCTTCTGCAGCATGCTTTGTTCCAAACATATTGATGTTACCTTTCCTTTGAAGTTAAAATTTTAATTGAAAAAAAAAAAGTCTTCGCGACTAAGAAGAGTTTGGGAAACACTGATGTTTAGCAGTAATGCTACCGAGCGGGTCATGTGTGGGGTGTGGGTAATGTGTGTGTGGGGGGGGGGGGGGGATATCTAATCAAGTGTGCAATATCCGTACAATAAATTATATAACAGAACTAAGAAATTTACCACAATGGTCACCTTATAGAACTCATTTCCCACATCAGAAAGAGGCAATCAAAATTCTTTGGCTGTGTGATGAGAAGGATAAAACTGAGTACATCCTGACAGTAGGAAAGTTGGAGAGGAGGAGAGGCAGAGGGAGACCGAGAGGAGAGATGCTCGACAGTTTGACAACATGGCATTGAGGATCATCTGTGTCAAAGTTGTTAAAAAGAACATGAGACAGAAGGTTATGGATAGATATGACTACCAACGCCACACAGCATGTACTTTAAGAAGAAAAAGTCAACATATTCTCAGCTACCACCAATACACAAGATGATGTCAAAAATTGGCTCATATACAATGATTCTTACAAAGCTGAGTGTATCAAACCATTTGCGTTACTATCGATTTTGCACTATTGGTGAGAGCAGCAATAAATTCCATAAATGACGTACATATATTTAATATTCCACCTGCGATAGCATTTTTTAGGCGCATTTTCTTATTTTAAGTTGCATTGATTATACAAGTGCAGGTGACTGTTTGGTTGTGCATTTAAGCGGCTTCTATATATATTTTTTGTGTGGTAGTAAATTCAGGGGAGCACTGGCTCGGTCTTTTTTTTCTTCTGCTCAAACAAAATGCCTTTTGACTAGTGTATAAAGCAGAAGTGCAGTTCTGCATTTTTCTCTTCTATTTAATATACACCCTATATATATATGTATATATATGTATGTGTATATATATATATATATATATATATATATATATATATATATATATATATATATATATATATATATATATATATACACACACATATATATATATACACACACACACAACACACACACATATATATATATATATACATAAGTGAATTCATGTTAAATATATTGTGACATGAACTTATATTTTACCTGCGGGCTTGAACTGTGGTTATATTTTCTTCTTCGAAAGTATTCCCTTGATTATTATTATTTTGCAGGCATGACTCATAAAGACATAATTTAGTGCCCCCCCCCCCCCCCAACTGTTTTTATTGTGCCCACAAACTCTCGCACACACAGATGTGCACACATGCAGACAGTCAAAAACACATGAACACACACACACATTACCAATCAGTATCATTGATGATGTTTTTTTTTTCTCTCCTCAGGCATGTTGGACCATGTCGGACAGCTTGATCAGGCCCCGTCCCAGGCGACAATGCTGCGCCCTTCTCTTTGGAGTGGGCCTCGTCTTCTTAGTGATATACGTGATAACAGTCAGCTCACCGTCCACCATCCTCTTCCGTTCCTTTTCTAGCTTCAACAGTTCCAGTGTTCGGACTCCCTCAGTAGGTTTGCACAGAGAATATGATGTTTGGCCCCCCTTTGCTGTCCAGTTGATAAGTCATGTAAGTTGCTTTTCATTAAAGGTTTAATGGTGTGGTAGTTGTTTTTGCTTTTTGTGTCAGTTTAAATGGTGTTTTAATTATGATTTGCCTGATGTTATTCTTTATTTATATATGTGTCTGTGTGTGTGTGTGTGTGTGTGTGTACATGTATGCATATACAGTAGAACCTCGCTTAACGAGCACCTCTCATAACTAGTAATTCGCATAACGAGCAGAGAATAATGTAAAATAATTACTTGCTTAACGAGCAACATTTCGCATAACGAGTGGCTAGGAGATGGGAAGTCCCGGACTGTGCTCATGTTGCATCAGTCTGTGTTTAGCACTCCTTCCAGTAGCTTCGTAATGTCGCTTGTGATCACACATTTACTCAAACTTGTGTTATACATAAATAAAAATTAATTGAATAAATTATTAGGAAGATAATTCGGAAATAGATTTGTAATTTTGTGTGCGAAAAGTTTAATAAACCCTTGCAAAAATGTCCCCGAAGAAAAGCGGCAAAAAACAGCCATATGACAGTTAATAAAAAAAACAACCATAGAAATGAAACATCAAATTATTGAAAAGCTAGGTGTAAGCGTGGCTGATCTAGCACGCATATACAATTGGTCTACATCAACGATTTGCACTATCCTTAAGAACAAGGACAAGATAGAGGAGATAGATGCTTCACAGGAAGTGACAAAAATATCTGCACAACGGTTACGTATTCTCAACAGTGTTGAAAGGTTGCTTCTCATAAGGAAAAAGGAAAAGCAATAGCAAGGTGAAACTATTAATGAGAACATCATTTGTGAGTAGGCGACCTCGTTAAGAAGACGCCAGGATCATCAACGGCCCAAGAAGTATTTTAGGGAAGCCGTGGGTGGTTTGAGAAGTTCAAGAGGAGAACTAGCTTCCACAGCATTGTGAGACATGGTGAAGCAGAAAGTTCAGACACAAAAGCGGCAGAGAACTTCATTGGCGATTTCAAGACGCTCGTAGATTCTGAAGGTTACTTGCCGCAACAGTTTTTAATTGTGACGAAACAGGTCTTTTCTGGAAAAAGATGCTGAAGCGAACGTATATAACAGCAGAGGAGAATGCATTGCCCTGCCACAAGCCAATGAAAGACCGTCTTACGTTGCTTTTCTCTGCCAATGCAAGCAGTGATTTGAAAATTAAACCGCTGATTGTTTACCATTCAGGAACTCCACAAGCCTTTAATAAATGCAAAATCCAGAAGAGCAGGCTAAATGAGATGTGGAGGTCTAACATGAAGGCTTGGGTGACACGTGACCTTTTTACTGAGTGGATTAAGGAAGTGTTTGGTCCTTCTGTGAACATTTTTTTTGTGCCTGAGATGAATCTGCCACTCCATGTCTTGCTTGTTATGGATAACTCTCCTGTCCATCCTCTAGGCCTACAAGATGACCTCCCTAAAGAATTTAAGTTCATCAAGATTTAGTTTCTACCTTCCAACACCACTCCGTTACCCCAGCCCATGGACCAGCAAGTTATTTCTAACTTAAAGAAGCTCTACTCTAAAGCAATCTTCGAGCGTTGTATTCAGGTGACTGAAGGGACCAACCTCACTCCTAGAGAGTTTTGGAAAAATCACTTCCACTTTGTTGCCTGCCTCAAGATGATCGACAAGGCGTTAGGAAAGGGTTACCAAGAAAACCCTAACTTCTGCTTGGAAGAAGCCTTGCCCGGAGAGCGTTGTAGATTTGTGACTTTGAGGGGTTCGAGACAGTACCCGTGGAACCTGTAGTCAACGAGATTGTCTCTTAGGCCGTTATCATGGGATTGGAGGTGGATAACAGTGATATCGAAGAGCTTGTGGAAGATCACAGCCAAGAGCTGACCACCGAAGAGCTTATGGAGTTGCATCGTGTTTCACAGCAAGACGTTTTGAAGAAAAGTTTGTCAGAGCAGGAGGTAACAGAAAAGCAACATCTTCTGGTGAAATAAGAAAAATGCTGAAAGCATGGGAAACTTGCATCTTACACTGAGAAACATCACCCTAATAAGGAAGTGGCTGTGCGTGCGGCAAATTTGTTTAATGATAATGCTGTGTCGCATTTTCGCCAAATTTTGAAGCGTCGGCAAAAACAAATGTCTCTGGACATCTTTCTAGTAAAAAGTAATTAATTATGTATCATAATTATTTCGATTTTTGTTTTCTGCAAATCGAATTCGCATTCCAGGTGGGTTCGTTCTGCGGCGGAAGAAAAGATGAAGATGATTCACTCTCCTTAACAATATGTATATAATTTTCTTTGAATAAACATTATACATAACACTCTGTGAGTATTTTTTCGATATGGAACGTATTATCATATTTTACATAAGTTTATATGAGGAAAATTGTTTCGCATAACCAGTGTTTCACTTTACAAGTATGATTCTGAAACGAATTATGCTTGTGAAGCGAGGTTCCACTGTATATTTTTGGCTTCTTTAACTCCTTCAGTATGATGCAAGTCATCGTACCTTCATTAGTTTGTCCAAAAATAGTGCACATTTCTGACTCTTTTTTTATCACAAGTAGTTGTTAGATTAACTCAATAATCTGAATAGCTACTTGAACCTCCTTCTGTTTTTAATGTTATTAATAACTTTTTTGGACCTTGACATTGAATATTTTGAATGAGAACTTTTCTGATTATAAAAAATTGAAATAAGTGTGTAGAGTTGTGTAGAGTTCTGATCACACTGGGCCATGAGTGCAGGGACTAGCTTGTGAGTGCAGGGACTGTACAGTGAGTGCTGGGACTGTCATGTGGGTGCAAGAACTGTCCTGTGGGTGCAGGGACTGGCCTGTGTTTGCAGGGACTGGTCTGTGGGTGCAGGGACTGGCCAGTGGGTGCAGAGACTGGCCAGTGGGTGAAGGGACTGGCCACTGGGTGCAGGGACTGGCCTGTGGGTGCAGGGACTGTCCTGTGGGTGCAGGAAGTGTCCTGTGAGTGCAGGGACTGTCCTGTGGGTGCAGGGACTGTTCTGTGAGTGCAGGGACTGTCCTGTGGGTGCAGGGACTGTTCTCTGGTTTCAGGGACTGGCCTGTGTTTGCAGGGAGTGGTCTGCGGGTGCAGGGACTGGCCTGTAGGTGCAGGGACTTTGCTGTGGGTGCAGGGACTGGCCTGTGGGTGCAGGGACTGTCTTGTGGGTGCAGGGACTGTCCTGTGAGTGCAGGGACTGTCCTGTGGGTGCAAGGACTGTTTTCTGGATGCAGGGACTGGCCTGTGTTTGCAGGGTGTGGTCTGCGGGTGCAGGGACTGGCCTGTAGGTGCAGGGACTTTGCTGTGGGTGCAGGGACTGGCCTGTGGGTGCAGAGACTGGCCTGTGGGTGTAGGGACTGGCCTGTGAGTGCAGAGACTGGCGAGTGAGTGCAGGGACTGGCCAGTGGGTGCAGGGACTGGCCAGTGAGTGCAGAGACTGGCCTGTGGGTGCAGGGACTGTCCTGTGGGTGCAGGGACTGGCCTGTGGATGCAGAGACTGGCCTGTGGGTGCATGGACTGGCCTGTGGGTGCAGAGACTCGCCAGTGAGTGCAGGGACTGGCCAGTGAGTGCAGGGACTGGCCATTGAGTGCAGGGACTGTCCTGTGTTTGCAGGGACTGATCTGGGTTTGCAGGGACTGGCCAGTGGGTGCAGGGACTGGCCAGTGGGTGCAGGGACTGGCCTGTGGGTGCAGGGACTGGCCTGTGAGTGCAGGGACTGGCCAGTGGGTGCAGGGACTTTGCTGTGCATGCGTGGACTGGCCTGTGGGTGCAGGGACTGGCCTGTGGGTGCTGCAGAATCAGAAGTTAACAAATTATTCATGGCAGTTCTTGCCCAGTGGATGTGATAATCTATACAGATGGCTCTTTGTTGAGAAACAGATAAAGCACATCTTTTTGTGTGTTTTGTTGTTAGCAAAAGTGAATAGATGTCGCTTAGTGCGACAAAGCCTTGCATATGCTATTACAACGTCTAGTTTGAGAATGGTGGTGGGGGCAGACACTGTAGCCTTTCACTGGCTTGAGAATCAGCTGTACACACACGTGGTAATTGTAATAAACTCATAGAGCATGTTGAGAAAGGTGCAGACCGGTATGCACAGTGAAAATTGGCAGGCATAGCTTCAGATGTCCTGCGTAGTTTTAGATATTTCCCCCAGGACATGCCAGGTTTTAGAACATGCTGATAGACTGGCTGGTTCTGCACAACTTGGTGGTGAATTGATGCATGACAAGCTATTGTAAGAGCCCTTTGGGGGTGAGTGAACAGTGTGGAAGCACAGATGGATCATCTTAGTCTGAAGAGAATGACACTGCAAAGAGTGCCCAAGGGATTGGGTTGACGATCAGCACTCAAGGGAAAAGTGAGATGGATATACAATCAGACTGTGATTAGTACCATTGGAATTAGAACTCTTCACTTGATGGGGACAGAGTGCTTATGGGAATATCCAATTATGGGAGTGCTGTGATGTTGATTCCTAATTAAACATTATACTTCAATATACCTCCTTTTTTTAAACAAATCCAATTGTAATTAGGTCTAATGAAGGTGCAGGTATGTGTTTGTGTGTATATATATATCTGTGTATGTGCATATATATATATGTGTAAATATATATGTGTGTGTGTGCATGCATGCGTGCGTGCGTGTGTGTGTGTCTATATATATATATATATATAGTGCACAGATAGAATGAATTAAGCCTTTCAACATGTAGTGGGTACCAGGGTCAGAACTTTTAGTCTTCTAAAGTTTTTATTCCAGTACAGTGAAAGAACATAGGAAGACTACAGAAGTTATGCAAATGGTATGCCACTGCAAAGACCCATTTCATACCAGTGAGAATACTTTCTTTGGCTGACATGCAAACATTGAAGGGAAATGAATGATCAGCACTTGAATATACAGACTTTTTTTGTTGACAAGTGGTTATAATCAGTGAAAGAAAGTGGAGATAGTAAAAAAAAATATCTTTGCACAGTATGTGTGTGTGTGTGTGCATGCGTGCATCCTCTCTCTCTCTCTCTCTCTCTCTCTCTCTCTCTCTCTCTCTCTCTCTCTCTCTCTCTCTCTCTCTCTTCTCTCTCTTTCACACATTCTTCAAATTCTGTCTCAGTGAATTAATCAAGTGCCATCTCCACAGTGAATGTTGACTGCAGTGGATTCCCAGCATGCTCTCTCTTTTGCCCTGGGTGTGCACTCTTTCAAACTGCTGTTCATCTATTTCTTGACGTTATCCTTCTACTATATCACATGCTCACTTGCTTTCAACTTGTAATTTCAGTATAGTTTTCAAAAGAGTGTTATATCTCTTCTTCCTCCTCCTCTTCTTTATGTTCAGCAGCTGTAACCTCTGGCAGAAAGTTCTGGGTGTTCGTCCACCTCTGGACTTTATTCTTGTTTCAAAAACTGAGTAGCCTACACATTCATTTCACTGATCTAGCTTGTTTGTATGCAGACTCTTAGTTTCTTGCCTCTGAAGCAGATAAACTCTGATTTGAAAAATGCCCCCAATAAGTTTACTCCTATGACGTGCTTGTTGGGGAGGCATTGGGTCTTTTCTTGTTTTACCTAAATATTTCACTTATCCTTTTTTTTTTAAATTGGTGTGTCCTAGTCGTTAGCCAAGGTTCCAGCTTCACTGCAAATAGGTCACCCCCCCCCCCCCCATCTCTTCAGATGGGAGACTCAATAACTATGCCAGTGGAAATCTCACAAAATCTCCTTTACCATCTCAGTTTGAAAGCTGGTGAAAGACTTGGCAGTTATAGCAAAATCTTAAAGTTTGCACATGCAAAGTAAAAATGCATAACGTAGTTGTCAGATGTGCCAACACTAACAATCCCACACTGTTGATGCAAACATCTGTGCGGTTATTCTTCTTCTGCCCCTTTATTCCCCAATGGAACATAAGCCCACATCCAACTCACGCCAGGTCATCCTATTCTTTGCTGTTGTGTGCAGCTCACCCTATATCTTCCCCATATTATTTTTTCACCGCATTAGCCTATTTCATTCTTCCTGTGTCTTTGGTCTGTCTTATTTCCTTGACGCTGTGGCTTCCATTGCAAGGACATTCTAGTTATATCACTATAAGATTGTTTCATCCTATCCATTGACATCATCTTTTGCTCTCCTCATGAAGTTCCTGTTGATAAAATGTTTATGTTGCAGTTGTTTGCCACCATCCACTGCCTGACTATGTGTTTATTTTCTACATTCCCCACTGCAGACCTGGTTCAAAAAAGCCTGCATTGTCAAGGGGGAATTTAGTATATCTGGGATACCTGATGTTTTAGCCAGCTGGGCTGCTACAGAGAACCCTGACTGCAAGTAAGTCATTTCTGCTGTGACAAATTATGTATGAAATAAAACAGTGACATCTCACAAGCATGTTGGAATGTTTATTTGTTTTAGTCCCATAAATGTTCATAGGTTCCTACCTAGAAGCCCAGTGAACGCATGATGCTTCTATTTTATGTTTGTCTTTACTACCCCTTGGGTCTGTGATGCTAAACCCTCAAGGAGTTACTGAGTGATTGATCTCCCTGCTGGCATAGTTGCTGTACATTCTGCCAATTCCAAATTCAAAGGGAGGAGGGGAAATTGTAGGGATGTTAATGCTCTCTGCATTGCATATCTTAGCTTTCATTCAATGTAAAGTTTGGTGGAAAGTTCTGGACCCTATTTAGTCACCTTTTATGACATGCTTGTTGTGGTGTAGTGGGTCTATTCCACACAAGGATCAGTGCAGGTGAGTCTTCCGTTTTATGAGATAAGGCGATACAGTGTTAGATGGATTAGCAGATGTAAGGGCATTGATGGAGATAGAGGTTGAAGGCTGCCCCGAGTGTCATCCCTGGGGGATGGGGGTGGGGGGTGGTGACAAACTAGCAAAATATGTCCTTTGTTTTTAAAAAAAATACTTTTTAAAATGTGGAAAAGGAGGAGGTGGGGGGTTCAAATCTGACAGGAAATTCATTTGTTTTTAACGTTATTATTAACTTTTTTGGACTGAGACAATGAATATTTTGAATCAGAACTTTTCTGATTATAAGAATTTAAAATAAGTGTTAGATCAGTAACTAGTAATGTCTGAAGTCAGTTAAGTGCAGTAAAACCTTGTTACTACAAATTCCAGAGGACTACAAATCAAGAGTTCATGTTAAAAACAGATGCATTCTGACCCTAAACTAATAGATTTTTTAATGAATAGTATATCTCTGCTGGGACCTGATTTTTGTTTGTGTTAACTGAGTGTTGGTCTTAAGTGAGTTCATGATCAAGAGGTTTTACTGTATCTTTACAATGTATGAAACTAATCATACCTTGAAATTCTGTGATGTTCATTTATTTTAGAATTCTTGCATGCTTTAGAGAGCCAGTTTTAACATACGACTGTGTATCCTGGACAGTTAATAAACAGGCTGAACAACTTCTGGAGGCCTTGGATGGAGATGTGGTTTTACAGAAGAATCCCTAGAATTCCTTGGACAGCTAACACAAATAATTTGGAAGTTTTGAATGAGGCAAGGGCTTGAAGAAACTTATCACAAAGATCATAAAGAGAGTCATAATTTTTTGGTGATGTTATGAGAAGAGTAAAACTGAAACATGTTGTGACCACTGGAAAGAAAGAAAGAGAGAGAGAGAGAGAAAGAGAGAGAGAGAGAGGGAAGGAGGGAGGGAGGGAGAGAGAGAGAGAGAGAGGGGAGGAGGGAGAGAGAGAGAGACCACCGGAAATGATTCTTGACAGCCTTTTGTCATAGCATGAAAAGGGGGGGGGGGGTGTCAACAAACGAACAGGTCATGCAGTTGTAGATCGGAGATTGTGGAGAATCATGATTGCCCCTGGCAGTCGGCAAGGCACTTGATGATGATGATGACATTTATCTTATGAATTACATCATTACCTCTTTATAATATCAACCTTTTCTTGTTTTCAGGATTTTATATAACAAATTTACAGCCATCTACACAGTTGAGAAACGTGTGGGCAGCGTAAAAATTCCAGATACCTTTCAGAGTCAAGTGAAAGCATGGCTGGGCAATAAAGATGATCTGTATCAGGAATTGTTTCATCAGGTGGGGCTTCTTTTTCTTCAAGGTTTTTATTTGTTGTAAACCTAGGGTTTCTTTTTAGGAAAAATCTATAGTATCTATTTTGTAAAAAGGAAGTACTCCATAAAGAAGATGGCCATGAAAACTATCCCTTCTGTCGTAAGATTGAAACCCAGCCTATGCTAGAAAATTATACTACATGTCAGAACAAACTATGGCTTAGGCATTGCGAGTCCGACTCATAATTCCATCCTACCACGATCGAAAACCGCTGCTGGCTGCGTGGATTTTTATCATGGTACAGCAGCCTAAAATGTGTACCACAGATGTATGTCCTGGGAAAGTAAAGATGGCTGGCGAATGCTGACCACATTACCCACATAGTGCCGATTGGTCTGTAAAAATATGGGTGCTCTTCCCATATGCCCGATGCACCTAAGGCGTCAAAAGGGATCTTTACTTACTTACTTTACTATGTCATCACAGTGATTCATTTACACTTTTCTGTATTTCCAGATTTTCTGGGTTGTATTGTGCTTTGAGGAGGCATGAGACTCCGGTGCAGAGTTCCTATAGTCTTTGCCCATTTTCATTCATGTGACGAGCATTTTATTTTCCAAGGCACACTGGCCATGAGTTTGTGTCCGACCCTACATCAGCATTAAAATCCCCAAATATGTAGATGCCATCAGATTTAGGAATTGCTCTCACTACATTATCCAGTTCCTTATAAAGAGACTCCTTTACTTCTCCCTTCCATAGCACAAAGCCTAGGCATTATTGTAGAGACCATATGTTGCCCATGCATCATGATCTCTCTCTCTCTTTTGACCTGCCTTGTTTACTCCAGAGGAGAGATAACATCAGTATGTTTTGAACAAAGCAGGCTGCAGAAGCTGCCAGATCAGAAGAGCAGTGCTCTGTCTGTCCGCCTGTCCAAGCCAAGGCTAAGGATCTGGTCTGCCCTGCCATAACATACAGTTTTCAGGTTGCATCTCCCCCCCCCCCCCCCCAGCCCCAAGCCGTTGGTAGACTATGGAATGTCAGGTTTGGTATACGCCACCGAACATTCAGCGTTAACAGAAGACAGGTGGTACCTGCTACTGTTGTACAGTAGGTAGCTCAGTCCATATCTGACCAAGACCTGACAACAGTGTCATCACAACTTTGACACTGCTGTATCAAATGTCATCACAGCTTTGATACTACTGTATCAAATGTCATGAAACCTTTGATGCTACTCCTCCTTCTTTTAATCGACTTCATCTTTTCTTTTTCTTCTTCACATTCATTGGCGTAAACTTCAGCAAAAAACTCCAGGTTATTCATCTACTTCTGGATGTCAGTCTTGTTCGAGAACCTTAGTTTTGAGTGCACATTCTGTTTTACAGATCTGGTCTATTTGTATGCTGACTTTATAAAAAAACACTCTTAATTAGTCGCCTTTTACAACATGCTTTTAGGGGCAGCACGTCTCTTCTTTTCCTCCAGAAATGAGAACCGCAGAACCCACATGGGGAATTAGGTGGGGGTAATCTCATCTTATTCTGATGCTCTTGTACATTTTGGCTAAAGTAAGTCACAGATAAGGAAATAATAAAGGAAACTTCATGCTAGTGACGCATCAGGCATAGGAGGCTAGACTCATATTTTTATAAACCATGCAGCACTCGATGGGTGACATGGTCACTGTTTGACCAGCTCCAGCTGACGGGCCGTGCTAGCTGACGTCACTACCAGGTCGGGCTAATGGTGCGTTAATGCATCGGTTCTCAAACTGGGTGAGGTGAGAAAAGTCGGCTAAAAATTGGGAAATTATTAAAGAAGGCACATAGATACTTAAAAGTTGAAAATTTTAGTTGTTCAAGAACTGCTGTGTGAATGGCCTGTTAGACTTGATGACGTAAGCAGCACTGCCCATCAGCTGAAGCCAGGCGGGCTCATAGTTGGCTGCCTCTATTTCTGGGTCTTTCTCATAGCTGGGCAGAGAGTACTAAGAATTGTGGCTTTCCAGGTGTTTAGCATCATTGAAAGCAATACATTCATGGTTTTTCCTATGAGGAATCTCCGGTAAAATCCTCTGGATCCTTTTCCTGTTTGGAATATCCGGTGAAACCTTCTGGATCCTTTTCCTGTTTGGAATCTCCGGTGAAACCTTCTGGTACTCAAGGAGATAAGGGAAAGTATAAACAGTGGGAGAGTGTCCATTTGTAGGCTTTATATATGGGGTGTTATTAGAAATGCATAACCCGGTAACTAATACTTACAAGGTTAATAAAATGCTGAGTAATTACAAGTTACTGAGTTTAAGAAACTGCAGAGGTGTGTGGTTTTATAGACAACTGATTAGCATTATGGACAGATAAAAAGAGTAGTGAAGATGCCTTAAAAGAAATTAACTTACAAAGAGAACTGAGTGCCCACTCCAGAAGGGGAGAGCCTCATTCTTGGATCACATAATGAAAAAAAAAAGAAAATTGGAGTTCATCGTGGTGGTAGGATAGTTAGAGGGAACAGGAAGTAGATGGAGATTGAGGGAGAAGATGTTGGACAGTCTGATATTATGGCATTGAAGATTATCTGTGTTAGAAATAATGGAAAGGACATGAGACAGAAGGCTGTGAATGGACACAGCACAAGAGACGGAAGGCTTTGAATAGACACAGCACAAGAGATGGAAGGCTGTGAAAAGACTTAGTTACTAATTCCACATGGCACTAACTCCAGAAAGAGTAATAGTTAGATGATACTGTTTTTTTTTTCATATCTAATGCAGTAGCAATTTCTGTGATTTTGATGCCTATCATAGTTACAAATTCTGTGTAGATTTTTCACATCTGACAACATAACAAATTCTTTGTTTATTTTTTGTAATACAGTAACAAATTCTATGGGTTTTTGTTATGTCTGAGAAAGTACAAATTTTGTCTTTTTTTCATATCTGACATGCTTAACATTGAAGCAGATTGTGTATAATTTTCAATAACATACTAACAAATTCTGTATGTTTTTCACATCTAACATAGTAACAAATTCTGTATCTTTTTTTCACATCTATCAAAGAAACAAATTCTAAATATTGATTGCACCTAACAAGAAACAATTTAAAAAAAAAATAATGTCTAACAAAATAACAATTGTTGCCTGTTTTTCATGTTGAAGAAAGCAACAAATGTTGCCTATTTGTTCATGTCTAATGAAGCAACAGATTTTACCTGTGTTTTGCATGTCTACAAGGTAAAAAAAAAAAAAAAAACTTTGTTTATCATGTCAAAGAAAGTAACACATTTTGTCTGTGTTTTTCAGAACATAATTCATATACTCAACATGTACACTAGGGAGACCACAGTATTCAACCCACTGCGAGACAAACGGCCAGTCACCAAACCAAAGGAATCAGAGGAAGATTAGTAAGAGAAGTGGTGCAGTGCCTTTGTGTTCACGTTTTTAACCCTTTTGTCTCATACAAATTTAAAAAAAAACTAACCCTGTTCCAAATTATATGAAAATATGTGCTTTTTTTTTTAACTCTGTGAAACTCTGCCATAAGAAATTGAGGCACAGAAGAAGAAGCAGAAGAAATTTGGAATCTTAGCCAGGGGGCTGAAACCTGTGACCACCGAGCAGATAGGTAGCTGTGATGGCCACTGTGACTTTATGGCTGTTAAATTACTATAAAAAATTTAAAAAACACGGAGTGAAATTGAAAAAAAAATTTGGGAAGGACATGGGGACTGCTGCATGCAATATCGAAGGATAGAACGAGTTGGCGTGAGTTGGTTGAGGGGCTGAGTTCCATTGGGGTCTAGAAAGGCAGAAGACGAATCATTTGTTTTACAAATAGGGAAGTAATCACTAAACACAAATAGAGCAAACATTTAACTGCTGCCCTTTCCTTTGACCATGATAACCTTGGTTTTGTTTGGATATCCATGTGAAGCAAAGTGACGTCATTAAGATATTACGATGGCATCACTGTAACAAAAAAATCTATTGCTTCCCCCCACTCTAAATAAAATCTCAAATTGTTATTTAGCAAACGTAATTATACCCACTACGTCTTCATATTATGCGGTTGCAACAGTACCAGAGCTATCTCAAACACATATTGGCCACTGCCCAAAGTTATCTTGTCATTAAATGCCAGAAAAAAAAACTCTTGAGGGTGACAGGGCTAATAGTAAAGAATACAAGCATACAGTCTCCCCGTTCAGGGAGCCATGATAGCGAAATATTGATTTGTCTCTTTCTGGTGTTTGTAAGTTTTCTGTGTCTCTGTGTCTTTCAGAACATTGAGAGTTTCCATTTTTGTTGTGCAGTGCTTTGTCAACATTTTTAAATTAAAAATTAATGTGGCTTCTAGGGGTTTTTGAGCTTATTTCTAAGTTAAAATTTATTGTGTGTATTTAATAAAAAAAAAAAAAACAATAAAGGAAAAGACTATTCATCCACTGGCACATTAGACATGTGAAGTGTTGCTAGATTTATAGTTTTATAAACCAGTCAGCCCCTGAGGGTGAAGAGGTCAGTGTCTCGCTGGCCACCTTTACTTTCCAGAATGTTTTCTGGTACCTGTTTTAGGCTTGATCAGCCTGGAAGCCGATGCCATAAAATTGATTCTGCTTCAGTGCAGATTCAAACTTGCGATCTTTTGGGCTTTCAAACGAACATCTACCCACTGGACCACCACAGCTTTCCTGTTTAAAATAATAAACAAAAGTTCTTATTTTCTAATGACGATAAGTCTGTAAATCTTTCAAGAACTGCCTAGTCCACCTCAAGGGTGACAATTCACATAGGTTCTTAACATCCAACAATTTTATCTAATTTACTGCCTTTGTCATTTGCAGCCTTTTTCTGACCATTTTCTTTCCCGTAGCAACACACATGTCAGATCTATTGGCCAAATAGAAATATGTGATTTTTCTCAGAGAGACATCAGTTAAATGATGTTTGTATATTCCTGTTCATACATGTGGTATTGTAAGAGATGCGTTTTGGAATCCAGCTGCGAATCGCTGCAGCTCGCGGCTGGTGTTCGAAGCCGGGCGGTTTCCGGGGTTCACCCAGCCTCTAGGAAATGGGTACTAGAGTTAACACTCTGGGGTGACTGGAGGAATGTCGCTGTAGTTTTGTATCTGCGTGCAGACGGCGACACAGGCGGACAGTTTCTTATCAGCTGTCCGTGCTGGTGGCAGAGCACTTATGGTTTATAACCATCCCACATCTCCCGACTTTACCTTTACCTTTAGATTTATGTTTTGTGCTGATGAAGACTCTCAAGCCGCAACGTTCACTTGTTGCTTGTGTTTGTGATATTGTAAAGCTGACTGGTTCTACTTTTTGTTTAGTTTAATATCTTGTCATGATCTTCTTTTAAGGACAATGTTTTAAAAAAAAATATATAAAGTGAAATTGTAACTGGTCCAGTTCGCTTCATTTCTTGGATACGTTCGAGATTATCTCTGTACCTAAACAAAGTAAAGGACCCCTTTCCACCTCTTCAGGCGTATTGGGCATATAGGGCTAGATCTATGTTTTATAGACCAATCAGCACTTGGTGGGTGATTTGATCAGTAAAATACAATGGCACAGACATGTAATAAGATACATCGGCCTCTCCAGAATTATACTACAGGGCTCAGTAGAGGGGAATTAGATAATTTGTCATTTACCTCATTGTCATTTCAGTTTAGAAAGAATAACAAAGGAATCAGCTCTTAGCTGTGATTTTTGCAAGTACACAAAGTAAGTGCTGTTTAGTGGTATTTGATATTTTTGGTTTCATCTTCTGCGGTTGCTGTTTTGTTTTTCTTCTGCTGATACTTTTCCCTCTCCTCTCTTCCACCTCCTCCTCCCTCTCTGCATCCTTCTTTTTCTTTCTTCTCCTTTTCGATCTCCTTCTCCTTTCTCTTTTCCTCTTCATCCTATCTCCTTTTCATCTGCCTCCCCCGTTTCTCTTCCTGCTCCTTGTTCTTATTCTGATCCTCTGCTGTCCACTTTTGCTGTTATTTTTCAGAAGCAAACATAGATGATCTTGACTCTCCAACCCTGTCTATTGTTTGCTATTTTGATGAAATTTGCACTGCTTTTGTTATTATTTTTCGCTGTGTTTAAACACTCCCACGTACAATTTTTCCTTCTGCCTCTCCAGGCTGGTGTTTCCCAAATGAAGGCTAATTATTCAAACTGTCCATTTACATCTTTCAGTGGTTTGTTTTTCTTTATTTGCATGGTGTATATATCTGCATAGAGGTTTGGCTGACCAAGCAGTTAAGATGCTTAGCAGTAGACTGGAGTTCCTCAAGTAATGTGATGGATGTTTGTTTCTGTTGGGGGCACAAAAAAACATCCTAACCTGTGTCCTAACCTGCACAGTTTGTGGCAACTGCACTAGCCTTATGTCTTCTGCCTTAAGACCCCACTGTCCTACACCGCCCCCAAAAACTGTGGTACTATGTGCATTACAAAAATAAAGTATTGAAAGTCTGTAGGTAAGCACCAGCATTGAAATCCAAGTAGGAATTTTGACAGCATGCATCTTCTCGGTAGCAGCATACAAATGTGAGTCCTTAATTATCTTGCAGTGCTTAAGGAAGAAGATGGGGGCTTATGAGCTGAAATGACATAGAAAAATGCTGAGAATACCTTGGATAAAACAGAAAAGAAACACAGATATCCCTAAAAATCTGAACATCAAGGAAGATTGGCTAGTAAACAGAATCTTGTCTCGGAGATTGAGATAATTTGTCCTTATCAAGCGCAACGTCAAAAATAAATAATAGCAGAAGGCAGTTATGCCAGGAAAGAGGAGCAGAGGCCAACTAGCATGAAGATAGGCACATGACATAAGTGACTCCTTGAGTAGGAAAGTTCATGAGGCGTGAGAGCTGTCGAGAGACTGTTTCCTTCATGCTGATCATGATAGAGAGCGTTCTGCAAAGTACCTGCTACATGGTGATATGCTGTAAAGACAGTTGATCTGTTTGCATAATGATATGTTTTGCTCTCATATTCAACATCTTTTCACATTGGGCATTCCCATGTGTGTTCAGTCTTTTGATGCAGCAGCCACTCCAAGGTACCTCTACTGAACGTCCGTATAAGGAGTTGGTTATAGTATCTCCTGTCTTTACCTCGAAGATGGCATAGATGTCTTCATCAAGCTTAACTCCTCAGTCACACAATCATGTTAGCATTAGAGATTCAACATTATCCACTAGCCTAGTCCTTACAGCGTTGATGATATCAAATCAGCTCTGTCCATGCTTCTTCCTGTTTGCATTGGTGCATTACTTACCAGCTGGTCAGCTGTTACATTTCTATCTCCCCCCCACCCCCCACATGAAAGTTTTGCTATTTCACCTGTTCTGTTTTGCTTAATACATTTCTTGTTTTTTCCTATGTTTTTGGGGTGAGCAATCTAGTGACATCCACAGCTGTAAATATCTCAGTTTTTTTTTTTCTTCTCTACTGTGTAGTTCTTCTTCGCGTTCACCTGCTGTAACTTATGGAAACTTCTGGTTGTTTATCCACCTCTAGCTTTTGGTCTTGTTCCAGAACTTCAGTTTAGCATGCACATCTGTTTTACAGATCTAGCTTATTTGTGTACACACTGTTGGTTCCGCACATCTCAGTCAGATGCACTCAGCCTTTGAAGGAAACAACTGTAATTATTCACCTTTTACTACATGCTTGTTTGGGGATAGTGGGTCAGTTCCTGTTGGCCCCGAAATAATGCCCTGGGACCAACACTGTGTAGCTGATGTTCTTGTGATTTTGATGATGTGATACACTCTTCTGATATTATTGGTTTGTATCTGTTTCTGAACACAGTTTTACTGCTGAGCATGACTTTGGCCGAGTTGAATCGAAACTGTCTTTCTCAGCCTCTAATATTTTTAAGCTGGACCGCCTACATGCTGTGATCACGATCAAGGATCATGACCCTGTGAACTGGAGTTATGAACAATACATGGATATGATGCACACAACTCTTGTCTGGTATGTTTTCTTGGTGTTTTAAGTTATAAAATAGGTTATCTTCACGGCACTCCAGACACGCACATAGGGCCTCAGTTTTCACCTTCAACATATACATCAGCATCCCGCAGTTTAAAATGCCAGTCATATACTGGTTAACAAGACGTCTTGTATTTTCATTGTACCTTTCATGCCCAGCTGTGCGGATCGATCTTTACTCCGTTTTCACATTCGTAGCAGTGATGTGGACACACCTCCCATAATACTCCAGTTATCCTTCTCTCTTAGGGCATTATCACTGTTGTGTTTTCAGCTTCCATTAAAGATATTCTTATTGCCATGATTAGAGATTATAAAAGCAGTTTCATAATTACAATATACAGGTGGTTTGGCAGCAAGCTGCTTTGCGTTGATTTTAATATGAGCATTGATTGTTTGGGAAGCAGTGGCAAAGTACTGGATTTTAAAACTTACCTAGTAAAAAAACAGACTGCAAATGCTTGGGTTGGGATGCGACCTTCTGTTAAAGGATGTGCAACTAATTGTTTAAATTACAGTGAGTGCTTGTTGTGACACTGTAATTTGGGATTTTATATAGAATGCTTTTTATTCGGATCCACTCTGGATTTTTTGCATTCAGAAAATAGTGAATGGTTGATTTGTGTCCAAACTGGCAGTCTGGCTTATGCAGTAATAAATGAGCTGTGAAGACAAAAGTGCAGACTTTGATTTTCAAAAATTTTCTAGAAAGGGACGCTGTCATTTACATAGATTGCTATGTGGGAAGCTCCAGGGCTTTTTCGGCTCGGTTGGAGTTGGAATTGTGAAGCAAGATTCTAGTGTTTTTGCCTTGACCACAAGTAGTCTGACTGTGGTGGTCATGGCAGGAACCAAAGCACTAACATGGCTGGAGACACAAGCCTTTACCCATGCATGTTTTTTTAGTTCTCAGTGAGTATGCTCAGGAAGATAGAGATGAGCTTGGTTTGAGGACAGTGGTTGGAGTCTCTGAGGTTGTCGGGGCTGGCACACATCAGTTTCACATTTGTGCCAGGGCACACAGGAATGCAAGGAAATGAGCATGCTGATAGGCTTCCAGGTAAAGCTTCCTACCATAGAGGGCAGACGGGCTATTGACCAGGCTGAAGTACTGAGTGCTCTGCGAGAAGTGAGACATTTGTGAGAAGCAGGTGAGGACTTTGAATCTGCAACCATGACCAGACTGCAAGAACGGCATGTTAAAAGGGGTGTGGCCAGACAAGAACCTTATACAGGAAGCCAAAGAAGAATAAGAAATAAACCACAGGACCAGTGTCATCAGCCTCTACATGGTGAGTGATTTACTGACGAGGGGATCCGAGCACTTAATGACTATATGATTTGATATGCATGCAATAAGGATAATCCGTCAACTAACAACAAGTGAGTTACTAGTTTGTCATGGCGCTGCTTATCAGGATGATGAACTTCATTTCTAGTGGGGAATGTTGGTGTTGGCAACTCTGGCTGCTGTCGTGTGCATTTACTGCATTTGCGAGCTGCTGGACTTTGGCAGGCCATATTTAGTTAGCTAATTTCCAAATTGGACAGAGATGGGCATTTTGTAAAATCTTCACTGGCAGAGGAATGTAGCAGCGGTAAGGAGTAATTCATTTGCTGTAAGATATTTAAAGTCTGACTAAGGGCTATGACCTTCCATGTGGTTTACTCACATCAAACAGTAGACATATGTGACACACTGGACTATGGAAGCGATACATAACAGCTAAATTTCTTCTCTCAGGTCTGATTTTGTTCAGTGAAAGTCTTATATCTGGCAATAATCGTGATGAGTTCAGATTTCGTGCAAAACCATTATTATATCTATCACTAAATGCTTTGAGATTTTATGCAAAATCATTATTGAATAAATCAATGGATAACTTTAAATGTCATGCTAGTTATCATTGTATCTTTTTTTTTTTTTTTTTTTTTTTTTTTCCATCGAACACCGGCTGTTAATTCCGGTGGAAGGTCCCGGTTAATCGTCCACTTGGACTTTTGGCTTTCACCTGGACCTGATTTTTGCGTGTACAACCGTTTTTCATTTCCCTGCCTCTTGGGCAGCTGTACGCCGACTTCGAAGGAAGACGTCAGGCCTATTTCTAGGGTGACTGTGGCCATTGTTTTGTGTGGGTCGAGACGTTGCCTGATTTGTGTGGTGTCCATTTTGTCGCCTTCGCCGCAGGTATTGCCCCGGAGTACCCCTTTGGGGCAGCCCCCTGTGGAACAGTTGGCCCTCAAGGGAAGGCAGGGGCAGATCATGGGCATTCCCCCCCATCCAAGGAGGCTTCCATGCATGCAGAGCCGGCACATATCGCTCTGTTTCTGGGCTCACCCAAGGAATCGTCACGTCCTGCACATGCCTGCTTAACCTCACAACCGTATCAGGCCTCCCGCTCGACAGGGGTTGCGCCCTCTGGAAGTCTGCGGGGAGCAGCCTTTGGGTTTTGGACTTTTGTGACCACACAGATAGGTACGTTAGCCCGACAGAATTTCACATCCTGAATCAGGCATATCGTTGTCAGTTTTTCCCAACACTCGGGCAAGTGAGGTCTTTGGGTGTGTGTATTCGGTCTCTTTCAGTTCAGTGCAAATTTTGATGGTCAGATTTTGATCCGTATGATCTAGTTTTGTCGGACATTTAGGCTTAGCCATCTGATGGATGGTTGCTGTTGTGGTGTACCCCAGCGCGGTGACGACGACACTGAGGGTTAACCGAGGATGTACGTGAGTGGCCAGCCTATGGATGGTTTTGTCGTGGTGCACCTCAGCGCGGTGACGACGACACTGAGGGCCAACCAGGGATGCACAAGGATGGCCAGCCCATGGATGGTTGCTGTTGTGTTGCCCCTCAGCGCGGTGACGACGACACTGAGAATTAACAGAGGATGTGCAGTGAGCAATGTTCTCTATACTCAGCAGTCTTTTAACCAAGAGTTGTAATTTTAGCTGTATGTTTGTCAACCCTACTCATGTTCCTAATGAGTTTTGATAACGTTTCACCCAAGCGTTTGGGGGCGGGCTGATGAGAGCCACAAGGACACATCACCTCTGGGGGCCGCCAAACTCCGAGATCCCCTGACAGCTCTGTTAATGCTCATTTGAGACATTATCCGTGGCGCACGACGAGGACGTGCTGTAGGGGTCTTGCGTGAGGATCTGTACAACCAGGATAGTGAAGGACTGGCGCCCGAGTGACGTACGGAGTATCTCCTTATACACATCATGATGGACTTAACTTCCCCTCACGCCTGTGACATAGATCACCGCGCCACTATCATTGTATCAATCACTGGATCATTTGAGATTTCATGTCAGTCATTATTGCATCAATCATCATTGTCTTAGTCACTGGTTGACTTGAGATTTTATGTTAATCATTATTGTATCAGTCACTGGTTTACTTGAGATGGCATGCTAGTCGTCATTGTGTTAGTCATTGGTTGACTTCAGATTTCATGCGTCATCAGTGTATCAATCACTGGATAACGTTAGATGTCATGGTGGTCATCATTGTATTAGTCAATTGTTGTTTCATGCTAGTCATCATTGCATCAGTTACTGGTTTGACTTCAGATTTCATGCTAGTCATCATTGCATCAGTTACTGGTTTGACTTCAGATTTCATGCTAGTCATCATTGTTTCAATCACTGGATAACGTTATATGTCCTGCTGTTTATCAGTGTATCAATCACTGGAGATCTCATGCAAGTCATTATTGTACTTCCCCAGGCTAAGAAAGGCATTTACCCATGAACCCAGTGCTATATATCCAGCAATCATCTGGGACTTGTTGCCAAAGTCCGGTTCCAGCCAGCTCCATCCGCACAACCAAGTGTTCCTTAGTCCAAATCGTTATCAGGGTGAGTATTGAAGTCATCTTTGCTTCAGACTTCATCATCAGCATCATCATGTGCCATGGCTGTAGGTGAAGACCAGTGGCTTTCAACCTTCCTAATGCCGCGACCCTTTAATAAGTTCCCACATGTTGTGGCAACCACCAAACAGTTATTTTCCTTCATAACTTCAATGAATATGTGTTTTCCGATTGTCTTAGGCAACCCCTGTGAATAGGTTGTTCGACCCAAAAAAAGTGTCGCGACTTGCACGTTGAAAATCGCTGGTGTAGACGGTCATGATAGGCAATCTCATATGAACAATAGAATCACAGATCAGGTCAAAGCTCGTGTGCAACCCTATCTGTGTAGCCAAGCCATCAAGATATTTTTCTCTTTTCCTTCCATTTGCTCTTTGTTGTCAAGTTTGTCTGTTGTCACCAAGTTCTTTTCCTTCTCTTAACATGTCCAGACACTATAATACTATAATATTGACTGTCTGCATCTGATTTCTCAGATCAGTTTACTTTGTGATTAGAAAGTTCAACTGAATTTCCAAAGTAACTTGACAGTGTAATCTATGCATTTCAGTGAGAAAAGATTCATATTTTGGTGCTTCATTATATGCTGATTGAACTCTGTAGTAATGCACCTGACGAGATACAGCGAAATATGCCTGGCAACAAATTGTGCAGTGTATTGTTTGTGTATGCATTATTTAAATTTAAAACTCGAAAACATTGTTTAAAAAAAAAAGCTGAAATGACTATCTTGGTCAGACAAAAGTTAAAATCAACCATTTTATATTAGACAGGGTTCTGGGGTCCCATATTTTTTGGGGGGAAGGGGGGGGGAGGGGGGAATTAGATTCACTGCTCATAAACAGTCATGTAATAAAATTAGATTAATTAAGGATTTGCTGAAATGCGATACGTTGTGCCAGAAAATGCAAATGTCACAGCCTAGCTATAAACCACAACACAGTGTGTCAAATGCCCTGTTAAGGGCACTGAAGTTGATCCTCATTGCCTTATTCTCTCTGACTGCCACTGGGATTGGCCTCGTGTTCCCAATAGTTGAAGTCACTATGCAGAATCATGGGGGATATGTTAAAAAAAAAAAAAAAAACACGGGCAAATGCACACTGAAAATTGTCATCATCATGTGCTGTCCCCATACAGCATTGGCTGTAAGGTTTTGCCATCTCACGCGGTTACCCGGATCACTGATCTGGTAAGTGTTCTTGTCTTACCTCCCCCTCCCTCCATTCATAAGCTATCCGGGTATTTATCTCTTTGTCTTCCTCTTGGTCTTCTTCTATCAATCTTGCCAATCGTTACTAAGTTCCTAAGTTTATTCCTTCTAATAATATGTCCGGATCGCACAGACACTGGAAGTCAGCACTGGTGAAGCCAGATTTCCTTTGTTTGCTGTGACTGTGTGTAAATGTTTGGTAAACACATTTTGTCATGGTTTCTTCTTCTGCATTCACCCTTAAAGGCTTGTTGGTACAGTGTGTGATGGTTTACAGCTAGGCTGCACTATATGTGCCTTTCAGCCCAAAACATTCATTTTCAGGAAACCCTCAATTAGTTGCTTTTTACAGCATGCTTGTTAATGGGCAATAGGTTCATTTTTTCACCCTCATACAGTGTTGCATTGAAACCCACACAGGAAATAATGTAATAGAACATAACCCTTGACCCTTTAGGATCCATGGAGATTTATTGATGGAAGCCCTAGCAAACAAAACCATCCATCTTTCTCAATCTTTCACTTGTCAAAATAGTGTATAATGATTTAATCCTGTCTATTTCTCGATGTTGACATTCCAGGTTCTTTGTTCCCCCCTCTTTTTTCGAATATCCCTTAATGTCACACATGTCAGGGTAATGTCATAGTTTAAATTTAAAGGGAGTAGTAAACAGCACTTCATGTATCTCTTGAGACTGAAAGAGTTACAAATTCCTTTGCATATCTGCAGGTATGGTTGAGACATGGAGAAGGGCAGGACAAGATTATTTTTCTGATCTCCACAGCAACTATTTTACTGACTTGATCACCTTGTATTCAGCACTTGGGCTGGCTGTACAGTTCAAATCTGCAGTGGCCCTAGCCAGCTTGGTAAGTGCAGTTGCCTGATTGTCTATGTTTTCCTGGAATTGTCTATGTTTTCCCTGTGTCCTGCTGCTACTGTGCAGTGTTCTGCACTTAAGATGCTGCTGTTCTGATTGTTATTTCTCCTTTTATCTTCCTCCTCCTCCTCATTTTTGTTTCTTTGTGTTGGACGGCTGGAATCTTGTGTTCTAGTCTACAGTTTGGCTGCTGTATATGGATCTTATGACCCCAAGTATCTGATTGAAGGAAACTCTTCTTTAGTTGCCTGGTGCTACATGCTTATCAAGGAGCTATGGGTCTATTCCCTGACCCACCCCCAACAACAAATAGGGCTCTGGAAGATGCTCAGGTAAGATTGTTAGTGTGTTGGTTTTTGTGTGTGCGTGTGCGTACATATGCATATATATGCACATCTGTTCCTTTTTTGTTTTTGTGTGTTCAGTTTTGGTTAGTGTGAGTTGTTCTGTGGCATGCTTGTGTGTGGTTTCAATATATATATATATATATATATATATATATATATATATATATATATATATATATATACCCAGCCTTAAATAGGAACTAGGTAAAGGTGTCCAGAGAGTTATCGACCCCATCACCCTTCGAGGGTCGAAGATCATGTATGAAAAATCTGGCTCCATGCAAATTTGAACCTACAGTCTTCATATCCGCAGGCGATAATCTAACCACTGCACAACAATGGCTCCCAGATGCAAATTTGAATCCAAGATAAAATCACCAGGCAAGCATCTTGTCTGTTCTGTGCTTATTTGTGTTCTTCAGCTGTGGAGGAAATGTGTTCTCAAAAACAATGGTAGTCATTTAGGGAATATTACATAAATAAACAAGGTTCTCTTACCCTGACTTAATCGGTGTTTTTCTGATGTGTGGAAACTTATGGGACACCCTGTGTATGTTGTCTCCTCAGACTCCAAGAAAAGACAACGAGGTTGTGATTATAGCCCCAGAGGCAGACGATGACTTTTTCCAGCTCATATACTATGTTTTACGTGGTAAGTGCAATGTGCCTTTCATTTCCTGTAACTAACTGATCATTGCATGCAATGATACTGCTTCTCCTGCTTTTTCTTTTTCCCCTCCTCCCCCTCATTCTTCTAAAGTTCAGGAACATATTGCAAGGATGAGATTCACAGGCATGAGTCAATTACACATGACATGCTACTCTAAACTGAATGAGTTCAATGACTGGAGGTCCATTGTAGACAACCTCACAATGAAGGTAACATGTGAGTGGTCAACATATTAAGACTGTTTCTTCACATCTCAATAGAACCATATGTTACAACAAACTATGTATGAGATTAACAGGCAAAAATTACATATGAGATGTTTCTTTGGACTGAAAAGAGTTAAAAGTACGGCAGGTCCATTCAGATGTTCCTCTGACTTAAAAAAAGGTCATTCACTTTACTTTTTTGTCTCACTATGACCATATGCTACATCAACACTTACTACTTGTTAGATTTGATCAGGCTTCCCCACACCCATCCACAAACAATAGCAGATTACTGCTTGTAGCCATAGGATGTTCCGGTATTACTGTTTTATATTACTGAGTATGGTATCTAGGATTTGTTCCTGTTGGATTAACATCTGAAAAGGAGCTTTTTGAGTCGCTGGGCATGAGACTCCTAGATTGCGATTCCAAAGGGGAATTTTTATTAAAAAGATGGTCAGAGCAAACACAAAATCTGGCAGCCTGTGTAAACTTGTATGTGGTATTTTATTCTATTTTTATTTATTAGTTAGATAAATGTTGTTTGTTTTCAATCAGGATTGTTTATTTATACATACATTTCAGCTTTCATGGATGATCTGAAAAAGTATTCATTCTCATTAGGAGGTGGCTTTCCTCCCATGGTAAGCTATCATGTGACACTTTTATTGACACTTTTATTGACACTTTCATGACACTTTCATTGACACTTTCATCGATATCCCTTGTGTTGTTTATTGATTGAGAGTTGTTGAGCTAAGAACTGACATCTCAGCACTTACGACATCCCTATCTTCAATAGCGAAGAGTTCCAGGGCTGATAGTAACATTAGTAGTTAGATTGTATGTCCATCTTGCCTTTCATCTGAGTGCAGAGTGTCAGTCAGATTCACTAATAACTATTTGATGAATCATGCTTTTTAGATGATAATTATCTGTTCCATCATCATCATGTTCATGTGCCCTGCCAACTGGCAGAGGCGCTCATGCATCTCCACAGATCACGATCCCTGGTTGCCTGGAACAGCTTTCTTAATGATATCCCTCCATGCCATAATTTCAGCCCATCCAGCATCATCTGTCTTGGTCTGCCTCTAGCCTTTCTTGCCATTTGTCACGATGTTCTCCAATGTCTCTATTCTCATTATGTGGCCAAAGAACAGTGTTTGTCTCTTTCTTTTTGTTGTATATAGAGATCTACTTTCATTAATTATCTGTTAGCACTTCCAAATTGTTAAAAGGACCGTTTGTAAGAAAAGGAGTCAATAGGAGGGGTTAACAGGTATTATTATTCCTGATCAATTAACCACAATCAACATGACATCTGTCATTGATGGATGTATGCTGGGAGAGAAGAAGATATAGAGTAGCTAGAAACATGCCAGATCACCAACACTTCCAGTGGCAATGAGATAACGAGGAACACTGGTGGGAAAATGTCCTACGAGATACAGCAAGACAACCATAGCATTGAGATATATCAAGGACCACCGTGGGAAGATAAAGGATGAACAGGTGCACGGGTGTCAGGAATGTGAGAAATCACCTGGGCTTAAGGATTTGATTTGATTTGATTTGACTCAAGAACCGACATCACAGCACTCAGGGCACTCCCATAAGCGCTCCATCCCCATCTTCAGCAGCCAGCGAAGAGTTCCGATACTAATGGTGCCAGTAGCATTCTGATTAAATTAGATTAGGGATAAAAAGAGATAACGAAATAATGAGAAAGAGGGGAGAAGCAGAGAGCACGATAGTCAGAACCGAAGGTCTTAGCCAGGCATTTGGAAAGCAAGGACTGTAGCTTGTGAACTTTGAGTTTACTAAATGGTGGAGAGTTAACTTCATTTGAAAGAAACACAGTTTTACTTCCTGTTTGAAGTACTTGTAAAGCATACGTATACAGGAACAATAATCTGAGTGTTAACCATCACTGTACCATAGAAATCAGTGTCGTACTTGATTCTGTATTATGTTGTTATTATAAATGATCTTAAACTGATATGAATTATTCATTAGATCACTGGCCGTGTTGATAAACACAATAGACATACATTGTCTTATATTCTTTGTTCCTTATAGGTGCATCTGATTGGGCTTACCTGTTGAGCATTAGGTCTACCAACTTACTCAGAAAATTATGGTAACTTAATGGCCAGCCCTCATAGATTAATCGACTTTGGTTACTCTGTTATGTTGTTGTGTTTGTCATTAGTGGAAAACATCATTCAGATGTGCCATGTGTAGTCTTGACACATGTGCAGCGGTTTTCAAGAGTGAAATGCTGCTTTATTTATTTATTGAAAGTGAACACCCCACAGTTGCTAAATGGTTGTTTCTATCCTCAATTTGTTCTTTTTTTCTTTTACAGGAATCATCTGCCCAAGCAGGAAGACTGCCAGCTTTTGTTCGAATAATAACACGAGGTGTTATGACTGAGATTCGAACTGACATTAGTGCCCTTGAGTTATTTACTGTGAGTAGTGTTTATTTGACTGTCTCAGAATCTTTCAGGAAAAAAGTGCGGTCTTGTTCGGCTAAATTGCTACGGAGAGATTCTTAAATTCCCTGGTCACAGAAGAAAAGAAATATAAACATTCTAAAAGATTTTGACATTGTTGACCATCTCACAATCTTTAAGGGGGAAAAATCTGGTCTTTTTAAGCTAAAATAGTACGTACATTAAGATACATTCATGACATGCACCAAGAAATACAAATATTGACATAAAAGATCAGAGCATCAAGGAAATTTGGCTTGTAAACATCATCTTGTTTCAGAAACTGAAATTTGTTGGCTATATCAAACATTGTAATGGCCTGTAAAGAACAGTAGCAGAGGGCATTGTACACGGTAAAAGTGGCACAGGCTGACCAGCACAAAGGCTGGTGCAAGACATAAGAAACATCTTGGGCAGGAAAGGGCAGGAGAAGAAAGAGTTAGTGAAGGATTGAGTTCATTTCTGGTGAACTGTGTAGGGGAGTGATATATGGTAAAGGACCTATACATGATGATGATGATTAATAATTGTTTATCTTGTAAGTAGTTTTGTAATTAACTAAGTATTCTTGTTCTTTCATTACAAAGTCAGGACTTGAATGGTTTGAATGAACGGATGAAAGAATCAAACAGTCAATCAGGAAATGACATCACTGCACTCGGGTCATTCCCGCACATGCTCCGTCTCTTTCCTCAGTAGCCAACGAAGAGTTGACATGCTATTAGTACCAGTTGCAACCAGATTAAAAAGCCACCAATGTCTCCCTCTCAGTGTTGAAAACCTTCAGAACTTCTACTCCTCCTTCTTTGAATCAGTCTTTCAGTGAACTCTCTGTCTGTTCTATTGCATTTTGTCCGATTAGTTTGTTAAATGACTCAAAAGTAAGTAGGGAGTCATCATAGCACACTGGCTGTATGCTCATATGATTAATTTTATAGATCGCCTGGGCTCTCTGGAGGACCCAGCCCAAAATGGCACTAGAAAATATCCTGGGAATTAAAGATGGCTAGCATGGTGTGGACAACATTGCCCATTGTTCTATACAAAATATGGGTGTAGTTCCATGTGCTGAAACACTGAGTTTAGTGGATTGAGAAGTGGATAAGTCAGTGGATTGAGAAGGCTTGTTTTCTTACTTACATGACTTAACAGTCATCATCATTATCTTCATCATAATCTTTTTGGGCCATTATACGGCTCACATGGCTTGCAGTCTATTCTTCCAATCCATTCTTTCCTGTGCAGTTTTTTCAAAATCGTAGATAAAATCCAGTCCTGCACTTTTGACCTCTCTCATCAACATTTATTATACTCTTTCTTTTTGACATCCTTGCCTCCTGAGTCTCTTTGTTTCCTATTTCAGTGCCTGTTTGGTGATTCTGTGTTTGCCTCTCCTCAAAATGTGTCCAGTAAATTTCCTTCATCTTTGTGTTATCAGTGTTGTTACCAGCAGTTTTCCAGACCCTTTTCTTATATCTTCAGGTTTCTTGTCGTCATCCCATTTATTATTTACCTAACAGTAGGTGACCACATGATTGTATTAAATAAAGGATTCTTTGGCATGCCTTCAGGTGTGTGGGTATATAGGCTAGACCTATGTTTTTTGAAACAATCGGCACTTGGTGGGTGTTGTGTCAGCATCACGCCAGCTGCCTCAATTTCCGATAATTTTTTACCTGGTATCAGTCGAATGCTGGTTCAACCTACGAGCAAGGTCATTTTTAAAAAAAAAAGACCAGCTCCATCCAGATTTGAACACACGACCTTTCATTTTGCAGGCAAGTGTATGATTGTATTATTTTGTGAATTCTTTTCCCCAGGCCACCAATGTGAACATAGATCCATACAAGGTTGTGCAAGTCATCAAAGATTCTGTAAAGAAAAGGGCACCAAGACCATAGGGAGGGCTGTTGACACACATGTCCACCACCATTGTCACTTTACTGTTGTCACCCTCACTGTAGATCAGTGGCCTCCAACCTTTTTCAGGGGGCACACCCTTAAGTACACGGCAAGACCCCCCCCCCCCCAGCCCACCCCCACCCCCCCCCCCCCCCACCCCCCACATATTACAATATAAAAAGAGAAGGACAAAATCCCAAGCACTGTTAACTAGAACTGGGGGGGGGAGGGGAGAGGGTGTGAATCCACGTTAATTAGATTTGGCTTTAGAGTTGGCTTTTTGTTTTATAGTTTTCAAAAAAAATATCATTTTAAATTAAACTGAGGAAAAATATGTCAGTATAATAGATAAGTGTACAAGTGCACTCAGTTTCAGAATAGCTTGACATCCCCTCCACCACCCCCTGCCCCAATGATTTTTTTTTTTTTTTTTTTTTGCTGTTTAAAAAAAATTTGATTTGGAAATAAACTGGGGAAAAAGAAACATGATTGTAACAGATCATTACAAATACAAATACACCCAGTTTCCAAACAGCTTTATACTCTCCTCCAAACATCTTTTTTGCCCCCCACCCCTTTTTCTGCATGAATAATTGTTTTGCTGTTTAAAAAATATTGATTTGGAATTAAACTGAAAAATGTGAAACATGAGTATAACAGGTCATTACAAATACAAACACACCCAGTTTCCCAACAGCGGTAAGCTCCCCTTGAAACATCCTTGTGCCCCCCTCCACCCCACACACACACATGCACACTCTCCAAGATGGAGACCACTGGTGTATAATAGATCAACTGCTGTTTGTAAACACTTGGATTGTGGGCCACTTTTTGATAAAGTTCACACAAATTGTTGATGTTGTTTTATACAGATTTGTGTAAACTGTGCATATATGTTTTATACTTGTGTAGTCTGATCTAGATATGTTATGGATAATGTATTTTAACAGCTAGTAAATCTTGAGATTTCTACGTATAGGAAATGGCAGAGTCTGCCATAAAATATGTACATATGTTCTCAGTAACCAACGAAGATTTCCCCGTACATGGTTAATTTTTTTTATATTGAATAAATTAAACATATGTCATTTGCTGACATTTTTCTAAGTCCAGTCAAATTATATTATCAATGTGTAGTATGAGAAACAGTCGGCACAGAATCAGTTTTAAATTACATGGCAGATTAAATGCATTGTCCACTTAGAGAGAATGCCTTGTGTTGCCATACCATACAAAACATATATTAAAAGACAAAAAGGGCATAGATCCTGAGGTAGGCCAAGAACAAGACAGAAAGATAACATCAGAGCAACTCTACAGCAGTATACTTTGCCTATGTTAGAGGCAGGCGGAAGAGTAAGAACCAAAAACTCTGTATCTCCATCAACTATCAGAGTGTTATGTTTGTTTTAGTATCCAGAAGCCATGAGTTGTTAACCCTTAGGCTCGGTATTATGGATATCGCAACCTTTCGGCCTTGATTCCATTGTAAATACCGTAAATCTGGGAGAAAATGTGGCTTTTCTGCCTACCACCGGGAGTGAACCCGGACCACAAGGAGTTTGTCACCCGCTCACCTTGCGATCCGGTTTAGCCAACTACGCTAGAGAGCCGGGCATCATAAAAAGAATATGAGCTCCACTTGATAAACTGGCCAACATTGTCAAGCAGTAATTCACCATAATAATAAGTGTCTTGTCTGTCTGACTTTGGGCAGAGCAGCCCATTAGAGAACATAGTGGCTTTATCCTAGGAAGTTGAAATACAACCTGAAAACTTAAATGTTGTGGCAGATCTGGCTCTTACCCTTGATCGGCAGCTGGTCTGGGATGGAAATTCTGACAGGTCGACAGACATAGCACTGCTCTTCTGATCATGCTTCTGCAGAAGGCTTTGTTCCATAAGTATTGATATTACCTTTCCTTTCAATTAAACAAGGCAGGCCGAGGGAGGGATCTTACTGCATATGTAATGCATGGTTGCTACTGCTCAGGTTTCATACCCTAGAGGAGAATGTACTTCATCCTTATGAGTTGTGATTCTCCGGTCACCCTATAGCACAATATAACAACACTGTTATCCGGATGGTTGCCCACAATAAGTGCCTGGTGCCACCTTAAGCACTTTGTGTTATCGATTTCTTTTGCGACTCTGTTATTCCATAATGCTCAGTTTGAAAAGGAATGATCTCAGTGTGTTTTATGAGTAATGGGCCATTATTCAAGTAATTAATTCAGTTAATATTGAAAATAATATATAATGGTAGAAGTACCTTATTTGAGTACTTCATTCGAGTTACTTGCCCTTTTCTCTGTTTAAAGTCCTCAACTGTCCACACTGCTCTTGTGTGACCACTTTTAGGGGGATGTCTTGAGCCTGAAGATTTTGTGGCGCATAATTAGGGCAGTCATTGTACACGACGCCATTGCAGGTTAGGATTGTGTTTTATGCCTTCTCTACAACCAAATGTCAGTCACTTTTCCTTACCACATCTTCGGAGTAAGCACCCTGCCCCCAGTGTTTTAACAGCTCATCAAGATGGTGTATTTTGAAATTCATGGGACAAAGTAGATTGCAGTTGTAGAGTTAAATATTTAGCTGCAATAATTACATGTAATTTGTGAAAATGTAATTTTAAAGACATATCTGGTCAGTGCCAAACTAAAACTTATAATTCAGTTCAGTGTTTTGCATTTTCAAGTATTATTTAAAGGTAATTTAAGGATGTTTACAGTGATAGGCATGATGCTGTATCCTTTGCAAGGTTTTTCCCCCTGCTTGATCCTGTTTTCTAGTTACTTTGTTAACTTTGGGGGATCCTAATATAATCTTACCTTTGAACAGGGCTCACCAGGATTTGTACATGTGGGAATCTCATCCTTGATTTGTTAATTGTGTAGACTGCAATCCTGGAGGGAAGAACCTACCTACCTGCCTGTCCTGGTTGGTGGGTGGTGGGGATATAACCTGGAGCAGCTAGAGAAGTACATTTCACTAAGGGCACAAGATGTGTAATCAGTACAGAAAAGCAATGATTCGTTGTTTTATATTCGTGGAGCTGTTGATGAGGAGATCAGAGCAGCTATGGATCTGTCTGGAGTGCTGTGACGATAGTCCTCACTAAGTCATATTATAAATGTTAGCAAATATACCTACCGGCACACAAATATAATCTGCATGGCATATTCTAGACATTTAAAATATATAACTGTGACTATATTTATTATGTACAGATTTATCCCAGACACTCCGTGGCAGAAATTATAGTTGATGATGATGATGATTACTACTTATGTTTGAATGGTATTATATATATTTTAACCTGTTAAACCTAGAACATATGAGAGACAATCTGGTCACTGCAAGAGTTGGACTCAGTTTTCAGCTGAAGGAGATTGCCTGGTCTTATATATATATATATAAATATATATGTATATAAATATATATATATATATAATATTATATATATATATATATATATATATATATATATATATATATATATATATATATATATATATATATATATATATATATATATATATATATATATATATATATATATATCCTGCAAGCGCACATTTTTTACTCAAACTCTATAGTCTGATGAATTGGTCAGGAAGGTTTAAAAGTTAAAAAATGTGCATACAGTGTAAATATGGGCATTTTCATTACAGCGCATCATTGAACAATCATACACACAATTTTTAACACAAAATCTAGTCTAGTAAATTGGTCACAAGGGTGTAAGAGAAAAACATTGCACATAGTATATATGTAGGTGTTTTCATTACAGCCTATCAGTGAACGGTCATTCACACATTTGTTACACAAGCTGTGTAAAGTAAATTGGCCAGGAAGGTGTAAGCGTTAAAAACTGCATATAATGTATGTGTAGGCATTTTCATTACAGCCAATTAGTGAACAATCACGCTGGTTTTGGCATCAGTGTAGAACTAAAATAGTCAAATTGTGTGGTCCTTCCTGTATACATTCTGTAATTGTATATTTGTTTATACAACTCTGTAGTCAAAAAATTGGAGCATATTTGTCTAGTTTTTCTATGGACTCAACTGACCATATTTGCCATTGTATGACACATGTTTAGAAAAAGTTACATTTTTTAATAGATGTTTTCCTTTGTGACATTCCTTGAGTAGCAATAGTGTTAGCTGGCCAGTGCTATTTGAAAGAAAAAGATATTGTGTATTCCATGTCATGTCGTGTTGAATTATGTTATTTGTTAATTTTGTTTAAACCAAGCACTTTTGATGAGATGAACTTTGTACAGATTGGCGTGATAAGAAGAATTGGTCATATACTTGTAGTGCTGTGTATTCTCATTAGGCACTTCTTAACTCTTTCAGTACTAGGTATTGGTACTATTCAGCTTTTTCACCCCATCTTGTCAGGTGCGATATTTCATAAGGAATTTCCCTGGACAGTCCTATAGTCTGTTACTTTCATTTCTTTCTCGCCTTCAGTCTGCCTTGTTTGTAAGCGCTATTCTTACTTTGTGACTTGACCTTTGCCATGAATGTCCTTGACCTGTTAGTATTCCTGCATCTAAACCTAACCCTAACACTTGAACAGTCATTCACAGAAAAGAGAGTTGCTTACTTTCGTTTGGGAGAAAAGAAATGTGAGCACTTTCATCTAGGAGACAGTGTGTAAACCCGGTCAAATGACGCCAAGACACTTTTTGGATTGTATGTACACGGCGCATAAATCCCCTAGATATTCTCCAAATGTACAAGGCACCTAACAGAGGAAATAACTGCTATTTGAAAAAAAAAATTGACAACTCTATGGCTTTCTAAGAAGGTAAGTACACAGTACACGTAGCCCCCAAGGCAGCCAGACTTTTATAGTATGCTGCGAACATGTCTAACAAGTTCAGGAAAATATTACATAATGATTAGAAATCATAAAGAAGACAGTTATGGAGGACATGACTCTTGAGACTGAAAGAGTTAAAAATGATGTTGCCCTAATGAGA